CCCAGAAAACCACGTCATTTCAGAAAAAGTACACCAGATCGTTTTTCAGGCATTTGACCTTTATTTTTGACCTTTCCAAGGTCGCAAAAACAATTTTTTCATAAGACAAGTTTGATGTAAAATTTTCCGCTCTTTCGAAATCCGCAGTCAAAAATAGGGTGTCCCATTTAAAAAAACCATCGTGACCTTGAAATGACCTTCAAAATTGACCTCAAGGTCAAAACTAATGGTACAATTAAATGACCCCCTCTGTCCTGGTCAACTTTTATCTAAACCATTTTTTTGTAGATACCGTAATTTGGAAGATATTCGGGTCCATAGATTAAAATGACTCACCTTGTATATTACTGAAAAATAGTACCTAATTAATTATTTATTTGGAGTACTAAAAGTACTGAGCAATAGTGTTTTTAATACTTAAAATAAGTAATTAATTATTGTCTTTCAGTATTGATTAGTATTAAATTTTTGTAAAAAAAATAAATCTAAAAGTAGAGTCTCACGATCAACGGGTGGAACTCTACCTTAATTGTATTCTTTGTAATACAAGTCTGATTAAAGGAAATATATTACAATAAGTACCTCTACTCTCTTTGGGTCCTCTGAATCTATCTGTATGCGCACGTCATAAAAGGCATTTCTTGCCGTCAAGCGCATATATTGATCATCCACTTTTTCCCAGCTGTACTTCTGTTCATCCCATTTATCCGGCTCCATTGTCATAGGCCAGCCACCTAAATGCGATAAGGTAGAAACCAGCGGGTCGATCCCTTCTTTTTCTATCGCGTCTGTAAGTATTAGCGAATTATCGTAGAATGTGACACGAAATCTATATATTTTTGGTTCGACATTTCATTTATTACAGATGCACTCACCCGTATCCATGCAAGCTTTGTACCACTTTTTCGCAAGTTTTACCGCTGGTAGATCGTTCTCTGTAATCTTAGACTGCACAATCTCTGTGAAATTTAATAATATTAATATACGCTAAATGAATCTCCAATCTTGAATTTTACGAATAGTAATGTGTAAATCGGCTGATTACCTTGTACTTGCAAAAGGGTCTTGACTTGAAGCTTGAACCATATATTCCACTTGCGTAAACCTTTTGGAATGGCATTTTTCTCTGACCATTTTCCGCAAGCGTACTCGTAAAAGTCATCACATGGATTTACGGATCTGTTCATGCCTCCTAATATAAAGTCAGCTGAGAAAAATGGAAAAGAGGAATTAATATGTTTCGACAGATGACTTAATTGCAGCTTAATAAAATGCAAATACCCATTTTTTTGCACTCCTCAGATTCGCATACAGCGCGTTTTTCTTTCATATTAGCATTTTCTTTTATGCCGAACAACCAGGCCAGATTCGAAGAATATTCTTGGATCTTCGATAATGTAACATCTCTCATTAGAAACGTGCCGACAAAGGTGCTGTAAAGATCCAGAAATACAACAATTAATTCTGCAATTATTTCCTAGTTATATTTAAATTCGAATTGTATTATTAAATGTTTACATGTGATTTTGCCTCTTCTTCAAAGGCAATTGGATGAGGGATTAGACGAGGGTAGAAGCGTCTTTCAACGTCCAAAAATCAATGTTATTGGGAGTGCATATCTCGATAAGAGGTTGTACGATCAAAATTTAATTCAAATCTCGCGCCCGCTCGCTTGAAATTAATCGATCCACTTTCAGCATGCCTGATGTTTGCCTAATACTGAAGTGCACGATGGCCATCATCTACTGACAGTATCGAAAATATAAATAATTTAGGACCGCTATTCATAGTCGATATATTAAATTCTTATATTTAAAACTGTCTTAAGTACAGTCTTAAAATTTCATGTAGGTACCAATCAGAGAATGGCATAAGCATCTTAAGATATTACTTATTAAGATGGTTTTAAAATATACGGACTGTGTGAATATCGGCCTAGGTCTGTTCATTTTCGCAAAAAGTTCTGAACAGGTACAATTAATAAGTTAGAGTAAAACAAATATAGTTTGTTTTTTACTCCAATTTATTGCATTTACAGTTTACACTATCAGTTCAAAACTTTCTTCGAAAAAGAATACGTCTCTAATGTTTTTCAGTAATGTCAGTACATGATCATCGTGCGTCTCAATATAATAGGAAAATAGGAAAACAGACGTGCAGGAAGCGAAGCAATCAATAGATCTGTTCGTATTGCTTGAAATCTCCAATGTTAAATGCAAAAAATGTAAGCAACGCGAACAGACCTAATTTCAAGTTAGCTTTGAATTAATAATTCATCGCATGATACTGTGACCCTTTATTTGGATCGGAAAACTAAACAGGGGATTCAGAAGAAGAATTAATAATTAATTTAAAATTATTCAGTTAATAATGTAATTGTATAACTAATGCCGTTTTAAAATTAATAAATATAATACTGTGCTTAAAAAACAATTGTTTAAGTTACGTACAGAAGAATGAATCGCCTCATGTTGGAATAATTTGTCGGTTAATATAAACTTCAATAATACCACACAGTAAATGTTTCGCGACGTTTTCTATTACAATGTGAAATTGTTTGTCGGTGGCTTACTCTTTTATATGTTACTATTATTTAAGCGGAAAAGCATATCGAATTGATAGAGCCGAAGGTCGGAGACACATCTTTTTCGTCCTGTTGATTTAAATATATAATTTAATAAATAAAATTTAAATATATAATTTTTGCAATAACTCGCAAATTCTCTCTTTCTTTGCCAGAGTCAAATTAGAGCGTTCATCTTTGTTCCTTTTTTCGAATTAATTTATATTAAAAGATACCACATATATGAAAATTTCTATTTCAGACTTTTAAGTGTATTATACAGAAGAAATTATTTCTCAAAATGTATAAACTGCAATAACTAACAGAAACAACAAATATTAAAATACCGATAAATACCACAGGATTAGTGATCACTGCTTATATTTCAGGTACATTATTATTATTTAACTTTCTACCTCATTTTAAAAGAATTTTATAACGAGGAAACAATTGTCTATTTTTGTATTTCTCTGAAGAAGATATTTTATATCACCCCGTCTCAGTAATTATGTAATTATATCTCAGACAACGTTAACTGAAAGCGTCAATTGTATCGTAATCAACAGAATCTCTTTCGGATCGGTACGCGTGATATGTGCAATGAATGAACGATCTATAATTATTTTTCCCGGAATATCTGCCGTCTCATTGTGTCATATAATTGTCACATTCCACTCTGCACGGAAATATGGAAGGAAAATTCTTTTCCTTTCATTATATTATGTTCTTTCTTTTTTGAAGTTTAATTATCAATTTTTCTACATTCGATTGATTATATACCTTAAATTCACTTATAAAAAGTTGAAAATATCAGAATACAAATTTAAAAATAAATACATTTTTTCAAATCAATGATTTAATAATCGCATACTTCTCATTTGTATTTATAAAAATTTCCCTATTTTTATATGCTTTTTTGCTAAAGAAATTTATATATTATTGTTTATATATTTAAAAATAAATCAAGTGATATACAATTTACAATTTTAAATAATATAATTAAAAAATATTTATAATTAGATAGATTAATTAAATTATAATTAATAATATTAATTTATTCTATAAACATAATTCTAATTAATTTTAAAGTTACGCGTCTCACGTGAGTTTTGACTTTTGACACAAGCGCGATTGCTACACCTATAATTTTGCACATAGTGGTGCATCGCGTCTTACTCGTTCTAACCTAACCTCTAACTTACTGAAATTATTCACGCCTATTAATCAGTCAGTTGGATCAAATATTATTATTGATTCTTTTGGTACGTATTTCGATCTTCTTCGACAATGAATCTACCTCGAGCGTTGATTGTTAGCACGAAGGAAGGAAAAGCTAAGGAAATCGCAGAAAGTAAGTACAAGGGTATACTCATAATTTGTCAGAAATAATCCTAATTTTCTATGTAATTTTATTTCATGTTGTGTATTTGTAATGCAGGTATAGGGGCGGAACGTCTATCCGAGGAAGATAAGATTGTAGACTATCTGTGGAACATTGACAACAAGTATTATACATCACAGATCTTGGTACGTGCCGTAGAAAATTTATCCCACAAACTCCCAGTGGAAGAAGTTGACGCATTGATTGTGTACCACGACCCACAGGCAGTAAGAGACATAATGGGAATTTAGCAATTAGATCGACATGTTGATGGCAATTGATTTCTGTAGGACAAGGTGGATCAAGAGCTGGAACAATTGACATCCTTGGCCACATCTTTGACAGCAGCGGAGGTACTGTTGTTTTCTTGCAGGACAATATCTGACTCGCCTTTGCGAGATAAAGGTATAACAATGATGGAAAATGTTGATGTTTAATGAACAAATATGGATGTGGAGAGATCAGAGTTCTATGTTAAAAAAAATATATTGGAGCATGCATTCCCTATACTAAACTATAGAAAACTGCAATCCGACAGAGAAAAGAAAGACAAATAAATATTTATTTTTCATACTGTTTTCTACAAACAGCATTAACCAATCAATGACAAAGAAATCCTGATAAAGAAAATAGTACAATTTTTGCATCATAGGATGCTTTTCAGCAAAAAACATTTTTCAGCAAGGATACAGGATAACACAATGTTTGCAATCATTAAACACGGATGAAATAATTCATTGTGTTACACTGTGTCCTTGCTAGAAAACACCCAGAGTGTCATTGTTTAGAATTGAGACACCCCCATTCTTCAATGGCACACTCCGATGTATTATAGAGCTTGCTGAGGGAGATAGGTTATTAGTGATATTCATGTCATCTGTCCTTATTTTACATTCTGATGAACAATAAAGATTAAATGACATAAATGGCGCTAATAGCATCTCCTCGAACACACTTTACATCATACATTTATTTCTGTATTGTGTATAATTGATGTCTTTTGTATGTTTCAGTGCTAAATTGGTGTTTGCTTCACAAGTTTGAGCTGGTCGAGTTGGAGCAAACGGGAGATTTAGAATGTGATACGGAGGGTAACAAATATGGCATAGAAAGAATCATAGAAGCTCTGCATGCTCACATGTGGCCCAATATCGTGCTTAAAGGTGCGAGTCAAATTTCTGCTGTTAGAATAAAAACTCAAGCGTATAACTCTTTTCACATAGATATGGATCAAATTACATTTCGTTACAGACAAGTCATGCATGGGGCAAGCACCAGAGGTAAACGAAATTGAAGAACAATTTGAGAATATTCGATTAACACGTGATCCTGCAGAAACGCTACGCATGCAGGATATGCTCGGTCAGTATAGATCATGAAACGAATGAAGGTAAATCTATGAAGTGTCGTCGCTTATTTTTCATTGGATTTTAAACAGACGGCATCATGGGCGACGAAAACGCAGATTTTGGAGAACTGTATGGCCAATTGATGGCTATGAAGGAACACGCGGCATCCTTACCAACAAACGAAAGGCGCCTAGTGGCAGAGCAAGTAGTCACCGCCTTTTGGAAAGCCATGGGTGGCGATCTTTTAGAAATTGAGGATTAAATTTAAGATTGGATGTACTTTATAGATCGACTATAATTTTAATTTCTCATTTCTGAATTGATTTGAGATAGAAAGTTTAGAATAATACAACGTAATTTATCTAAAGACTGCCGCATATTGTAATGATATGTGCATTAAGGATGTATAGTAAAAAAAAAGAAAGTTTTTAGAAAAAATTCCATTCTGATTTAAGTGTTGTATGTATAACAAGAGGTTTGTTCTTTTTAACTAAAGTTTTTGCATAGTTCATCTTTCTTCCTCTTCTCTCCATGTTGGAGAGAAAAAGAAAAAAGACGAACCGTGCAAGAAGTTCAGCTAAAAAGAACAGGCCTATGATGTTATTTATGTACTATTAAAAACGTGTATCTTAAAGATTATGTAACGTAAAAGTAATCTCATAATCGATAGAATTATTAATATTATTGTATTTAAAATGCTGTATATATGATATGTATATTTCCTAATAAAATAAATTTATTTGAAACTCCTGAGTAGACACCACAATCATATTTGAATCGTGACGTCAGAAGCGAGAAATGACACGTTAATTTTTGTGCCATTTGTAAATAAAGATAATTTGGATAAAATTAAATGATGAGATCGCTTTAAAACATTTGTAAAAATAGACCAAAACTCTTTGCTTTTTTTTATCCTCTCCGAGTTACAGTCAGTAAGGTTGCGTTCGGATACATCATCCGAGTAAACTGTATCATTTTATCCTTGTTGTTTATTCAATGTTAAACAAGGATAAGATGATACACGGGGGTAGCCAGGTGATGTTTCCAACGCAGCCTTATAATCATAAAAAGTGATAAAAGGTATATGTAAGTGAAAATAGGCTACGCATGCGCATTGAATAAAAGCACTTGCGTGGCTTTCATCACTTTTCATGATTATTTACTGACTGTCAAGGGAAGGATTAAGGACAGTTTTCGTCCATTAATTTTTACAATTGTTTTAAAGCGATCTCATCGTTTCGTTTTATTCAAATTGGTTGTGGTGACTACTCAGGAATCTTAAAAATAAATAAAATGTTTTATATCGAATTTTTAGTAACAATACGAATTAACATTCATAAGATGGCTGAAGAAAAGAAAAAGTAAAATTAAAAACGTCGCAATATTTTTCTCATTTTGGAGAGAAAATAATGGATATATGTTCATTGGATATAAGTATGTTCATATTTTTGAACGGACTGAAGCAAATTGCATATCAGTTCAAATATTAAAATTCAGCGGCCGATTTCTGGATATTAGGAGCGCATGACTCGAAAGAAGCAAAGCTGCGTTCGGGGAAACACACAACTGCCTTCAAGTATATCATTCTATCCTTGTATTCGTCGAATGTTAAACAAGGATAAATTAATACCTGAAGGTACTCGCAAATCTCGCTCGCGATGTGTATTCCCGAGCGCAGTCTAAAGTTTCAAATTTGGCGCTACATTCAAAATAAAATTTTTTCGCGCATTTTCTTTTGTCGATTCTTCATCGAACCTTACAGTTAATTAAACCTCATCAGTGTGTAATAAGCCTCGTTTTGAATGAACTATGCGCACGATGCTGCATAATTTGTGTAGTCGATAGTTTGCATTGTTAGAAGTACTCTATGCGAGTACTGTTCTAACCATGTTCGGCTATATGACACGATGACTCCTGGTGCATTCACGTGGACCCCCACATTGTTTTACAAAAACTGACTGTTTCGTATTATATGTTGATTACGGACTATGATAAATTCCGTAACAAGGAAAATGATTTTCCTTAAATTGATTCGCCCGTACAGTCAATTCACCAACAACAAACCGGCTAACCTCATCAGAAATGAATTTTTAGATTACTTCACGAAGGATTTAAAGCACAGTTTTATTCGTTCCAGCCCCGTCTCTCCGATTACCGATCATTCCCTGGCGTTTATCAATGCTGGCATGAATCAAGTATGTCATACTTTTCAATCTTGAGAAGTTTGTCTCTAATAACAAGTTGCTATAACGAATACTTCTATTTTTACTCTTTTCAGTTTAAAGGGATTTTCTTAGATTATTACAAACCTCCTGTGACAAAAGTTGCAAACTCACAGAAGTGTATCAGAGTTGGTGGGAAGCACAATGATCTAAGTGTTGTTGGCAAAGATAGTTATCACCATACCTTTTTTGAAATGCTTGGCAACTGGTCTTTTGGAGATTATTTTAAAGTATGATTTTAGATATTTTAAAGTACAAAAGAACTACAATGCTATTTTCACTTGTTTATACTTGTAGTACTTATTTGTGTAATGAACTGACTTTAGGAGGATGCTTGCTCGTATGCTTGGAATCTTTTAACAAATGTATATGGCATACCTACAGAATATTTATACGTAACATATTTTGGTGGTAATGAGGAACTAGGCATGAATCCAGATCTGGAGTGCAAAGATATTTGGTTGAGACTCGGTCTTCCGGAATGTAAAGTTTTACCTTTCGGTATGCGAGATAATTTCTGGGAAATGGGGGTATCAGGTCCTTGTGGACCTTGTACAGAGATACATATTGACTATATGAAACGATCAACTAATCAAGCCGAACGAGTGAATAAAGGATATGCTGATCTTATGGAGTTATGGAACATAGTTTTTATACAATGTGAAAGGTGAACTATCAGTTATATGTATTTATTAAATACTTTAAATCCTTTAAATTAATGATTTAAAGTCCATATAATATACTACATATTTTTTTAATCTTTATGCATTGATTTAAACATTATTTGAAACTTTCTTTGCTATGTAACATCATAAAGAGTTTATTAATTGTATCATTATGAAATTGCTTAGTCTATTCAATATCATATTTTATGTTAGGCTTACAAATGGATGTATAGTACCTTTACCAAACCATCATGTTGATACAGGCATGGGACTTGAACGATTAGTTACTTTTCTACAAGGAAAGAAATCAAATTATGATACGGACCTCTTCCAGCCATTATTCGATGCAATACGAAAACATTCGAACGCACCAGAATATAAGGGAACGTTTGATGATGACACAGGCAAAACTATGGTTACAGAATTGCCACTTGATTACGGTTACAGAATTCTAGCTGATCATGCAAGAATGATTACTGTTGCATTGGCTGATGATATGTTACCTGAACAACAGTATGATTGTGTAGTACTAATCTATGATCAAATATATATATAATTATTAAATATAATATAGTATATATATATATATATTTCAGTCCAAAGCTGCGAAAAGTATTGCGACATGCAATAGACATAGGAGAGAAAATTTTCAGAAAATCTGGCATAGTTTCAGAACTTGCTTGCAATGTAGCTGATAACCTGGGTGTAACTTATCCAGAATTGCATACTAATCTAAAACAGGTAAAATAATTAAGATTAAAACGACTAAAATATATATTAAAATGAAATTTTTAAGCTCATCTTGTTGAGACATAGTTTACATAATCTTAATATATTAGATGTAATTTGTCAGGTACAAAGGATAATAGATTTTGAAGAAGATTTATTTAAAAAATTACGGAATACTTCTGGTAAAATGTGGAATAAGATGATTAAAACTCGTCCCGAATTGATAGCAATTACTGATTGGATGGCTTCTGGTCTAGTTGATGGCTATAAAGATCTACAATCCATGTTGAAAGAATTGTAAGATATTTTTTTCTAATTGTACCTTTTTTTTACATGACATAATATGTTAGTACACATAATATTATTTACAGACGTAAAACTAATGTATTACCTGGAACTGTCGCATTTAAGCTGTATGATACATACGGTCTGAATTCGGAAACTATAGCGGAACTGGCACAAATCGAATGTTTATACTTTGATGAAATCGACTTTGAAAAGCAACTTGATAATCGTAAATATCAATCAAGAATTGGATTAGACAAACATAGTGTTGTAATTTCTGAAGAATCTTTAGGAATACTTAAAAAAAATCATGTACCTAAGACGGATGATTCATTCAAGTATAATTATACGTATAATGGAAATACGTACGAATTTCCAGTATTTAGCAGTAAACTCATTGGAATTATTGTTAATGGTAATGTTAAAATAAATTATGTACATTTTTTTCATATATTCCAATTATTTAACTGCTTATATAATGCAACTTTAAAACTGAATCTATGTTATATATCGTAGATGAATTGGTTGCAAGTAAAAATTATTCCGATATTATAAAAACTAATAATACTAATAAAATAGTTGTAAATATCGACGAAATATTAAACAGTACAGATAATATTGGAATTATTTTGGACAAGACTATATGTTATTCATTAGAAGGTGGCCAAGTTTCAGATAAAGGGAATATTTGTATTAAGAATCTACTTTTTAATATAGACAATGTTAGAAAAGTAAACGGCTATGTGATTCATTCTGGACACTTTGCCAAAACAGATTTACCGTAAGTGTCTTATATTTTTATACATTTAGATATGTTTAGATAATTATAAAACTCATTTTAATTATGGTATTTTTCATTTTAATTATATTTTAATTTAATTGTAAAAAGTTCATAATCAGTACACAAATCTGTTTTCTAGTATATCAGAGCTGCATTTACAAATAGACGACGATTGTCTAGTCAATATAGAATCAAATATTCGTATTGGAGCGATGAAACATCATACAGCAGCACATTTATTAAATGCAGCCTTAAAGCAAGTTATGCAAGTAATTTATCAACGTGGATGTACAGTCAGTATGGATAGTTTAAAACTTCAATTCAATTCGTTAGGCGAACAACTTACATTAAAACAAATGGAGGCAATAGAAGCTTCCGTTAACAATGTCATACAGTCTCGTGCTGTAACGACTGTGCAAACTGTGAATTCGCTCGAACTGTTAAAACAAAACGATGTTACATTAATCCCAGGAGAGATATATCCTTACACAGACATTAAAATCGTAGAAATTAATACTGACGATTTGAAAGCAAAGTTAGTAAGTCTAAATTTTAAACATCAAATTTTCTAAGCTGGACGTTAATATTAATTGTGCATTTTTAGGGAAACGTGTTGTGGTACGCATGTACATAATACTGGTGTACTGCAACACTTCTGCTTTTTAACATATACCTCAAAGGGAGCAATGAAACGCACTGTTAAGGCTGTTGTTGGTCCTGGAGCTCTAAGTATGAAACAAGCCGGTGAAAATTTATGTCAGAGGATTGCAGAGCTAGAAGACGTTTTACGAAGTGGCAAATTCATATATGAGCTATTTAATACAGAATTAAATCAAATAAAACAAGAAATTAATAACCAGGACGTACAAGTACCATTACCTTACTTGGTTAAAGAGAAATGTTTGACACAGCTGGAGAATTTAAGCAAGACGGCATGGCTGCGAGAGAAAGAAATCGAAAAGTATGTAATATATATGTATACTATATGAGTAATCTATTTAATTCTGAATAATATTTAATAATGATCTTTAATAGAGATTCTATAACTCGTGAAATCATTGATGCCACGGATTCATCTTGTTTTATTGTGTATTGTCTAAATAAGAATCCCACATATTTGTCATTGCATGAAGTTGCATCTCTCTTTTCTGAGATGCCAATTTTAATTCTGTCATGTACGAATGGATTTGTAAAAGCAAGATGTTCCATGCCACAGGTATGTTTTATTCATATGTTTGTAAATATACATTTCACCATAAATCATAACAATATGTAATCTATATGTATATCAAAATGTAAACAATTTAAATAAACTCTTATTATTATTGTTTAGGAAATAGCTTCTAGTGCATTTAATGCACAAACTTGGATGAATATCATCCTTCAAATTTTTAATGCAGAGTACGGACCTATCAAGGGATTCAAACCTATGTTGGTCGCAAGTATGAAATCTACAAAAGTATCGCAGGATTTTCAGATACGTATGGAAGAAGCAATTACAGAGGCTACCAAATTTGCATTTGCGCATGTAAAAAAAGTTAAGCTCTAATAATAAAAATCAGTGAACGATTTATTTTATATTGTATTTTATCTCTCTGTTCTTTCTATTCGAATGGATATATACGTAATTTAGCGTAGTATTTAAATAAATTAGACTTTATTTATCTATTTATATACTTTTCATTTGTATAAAGTAACATCAACAAATATATAAAAAAATTTTAGGACGTAGATTGTACATGCCTCGCATAAAATTGCTTGAGAGCAGACCATTGTGCTGTATGAAGCAATACATGTGGCCTCTTCATTCGCATGTAATCAACCGCTTCTTCAGGCGTCCAATTATTTTTCTAGAAAAACGAGAATATTTCACCGCTTAATGACTAAAAATCTCTTAGTTTTGCATTTAAATCTTGCCATATGATCTCACTGTTATTAAATAACATCCGACTAATGTTGCGCTTCTTGTTCTTCCTGCTTTACAATGAACATAAACTGTGCCATGTTGGTCATGACTATTATCGATACCTGGATTATCTAATTTTTTATTTGATATGTTGCGGAATTTATTAATAAAGTTTACACCCTCCTGTAATTTTTCCTGTGAAGGTGCTTGAAAGATGTCTGTTGTAGACAGTTGTAGAAATTCTACGTTATGCTTGCTCCATTCCTGGATGGAGAAAAAAAGTATTATATATATATATATCAAGCTACATATATTTCTATTTAGCTTTTAACATACTAGTTTATTCTCAAAATTTAAATCTTACTACCGCGCACCTTTTCCATGTTTGATAATAAAGACAATTCATAATCTTCATTCATAGACACAACAGCTTTTATATTTTCATCATCTATCAACTGAAAGTGAAAAAAAACAGAAGTGTAAAGTACAAATTGTATATAACACTATTTGAATATTTGTAACTTAGTGGTTGTCGCATAAATTTTATTTATTTAAATAATTGATATGTTTCTGACATATTCTTAATGTATTTTTATATAGAAGAACAGGCTCATATTATAGAATAAAATTAAAAATCATTTTTAAATTAAAACATTAAATATTGTAATAACATTTATTTTATGATATTTATTAAAAAATAAATGCAGATAAAATTACGTATATATGTATATATATATATACATATATATAAAATAATATTTTATTGATTTATGTATAATTTTTGTTACAAAAATAAATTTACGAAACCATACCTGCTTAGTCGTTCGCCGAAACGGTAAGGCGCCCAATATAACAGTCTCATCTATTTTATCGTACCAGTTCCGAGTCGTAATTTTTTCCATAACGACGTTATAAAGCAAGGTTGGATAAAACGTTACCCTCGCAAACATTTTTGCTAAAAATCAATTCCGAGAGAAGTGTTAGCTCGAGTGATGACTCAAATGCCTTTGAGAGTTTGAAAAATTTAAGGAAAGTTCGTGGTTTGCAGGCTTAAGATTCCCCACGATATCGATATAACGGTAAATTTTTTAAACAAAGTCATTTACAAAATCATTTAATTGCTCGGTTATTTCGTGTCATAATAACAGTGCAATATGTATAGTTCCCGTGTAGATTTCAAAGATAACGCAATGAATGGAAGACATGGAAGAAGTCTTCCAGAAGTAATAAAAATGACTCGATTGACCTACTTTCGCGGAAAGCAGTTACTGAAAGTAACAGCACTACAAAACTGGTGGGGACAATATTCAATACAATTATGCTTCTTTAGCTAGTGATTACCTACATTTTCATACATTTATCAGCATTTTAATTTATAACAAAAAAATGTTTTCGAGACATATACAAGACACTCAAAATAAAATTCAATATCTTAATAATAATCGAATGTTATCCGATTTTATTAAAAAAAAATGAGATGTAGTTGAAAGATAACTTTCTCAGAGTTGTTTTTCCATTTAGGGTCATTCAAATATTAGATATCATGTAAAATTACGAAAATTTATATTTTCTCTCAATTAAGAACTATTTCCATAAATAAATATACAATATTTACATCGATAATTATTACTACGCTAAACTAATTTTGTAATTTTGTGAAGTCTCTAATAAATTTATATCTAAGCAATAGGATCCAAATTCTCCTTTCCTAAATAAACTAATAAAGTAGTCTGCTGCAAATTTTAAATCAGGCATGACTTGTTTCTGATTGTTGTAGCTTTTTATTCTCACGGTTTTTTTCAACTTTGCAGCAATAAACGTGAGTATATATGACACATTGTCATTTGGTTCTGGCAAACCTAATTTATCTACATATTCAAATCTGTCATTTGTATTCAGCCAAAATAGTAGGTAATCCGCAAGCATATACGATCCTACTACATGATCTTGCAGACATCCCACTAAGGCTAACTTAAAGCCAGCATGAACGTCATTGATGGAAGGAGCTAGGATACCCGGGGTATCAATCAGATACACTACAGGATCCTCTGATATTTTTATATGAGTCATTACGGATCGTGTGATACCAGCCATTCCGCCAACAGGAGTAGCTTTGCCTGAAAGGTGAAGGTGATTGTTTCTCAAACAATTAATCAGAGAGGACTTTCCAACATTGGGTACACCAATAACCATCATGGAGTAAGATTCTTCTTCCATTCTATTGTAACGCTGTGAATTTAATATCAACTTCTTGGCTAGAGGTAAAATCTTCTTCATGCCTTTGCATTGTTGATTTTTCAGGTTTGTAAAGATTATGTTGGACAGCCCTTCTCTGTTCAACATAGAGACTGTACTGTCTGTGTATCTCATATCGGCTAGATCTTTTTTGCTTAGTACAAGTATATGTGGCTTCAAGCCGGTCAAAGTTCTGCTAAAGTCTGCATAACGTCCGGAAATCGGTACCCGAGCGTCGTGAACCTCTAGGATGCAATCGATATTTTTCAATCGCTGCTGCATCTGTTTCAGACCCTTCGTCATATGCCCCGGGAACCATCGCAATACCTTTGGCGACACGAACTTTTGTCGCAGATTGGCGACTACTTTACCTCCAGTATTCGTCATCGTGCCGCAGCTTCAGTGTATTTTTTCGCTACGTCCTTAAACGATAGTTCCCTCCGATAAATTCTAAAACAATACATGGACCGGTTAAAATCAAAAAGACTCGCGAGTCGTTGCGAAGAACGGAATGATATACTTTGTTCAGATGCCTAGAAAGCCTGTTTGAAATTTGTTTCAAAAAATATGTATCATAATTCAAATATTGATATTAATGCAAAGATATAATAAATTATATGACAATATAATTGGAGCACGCAAGGCTATGTGAGACAAATGCCAGCAAATATCAGCATGTAGATTGTAGGTTATCGCGAGATTTTTTTTTATTGGCTATTGTTGGCTGTTCAAAATCAGTTAACGAAGCGCGGGAGCCGCGGAAAAATACGTTTTCATGAGAGTTCTATAATGCGGGGTCTACAATAGAAGTCGTAGCATAGAGTCTTAAGTCGTAGAAAATTGACCAATTACAGTTGATTATTCTTCTCATATTCGACTGTGATTGGTCAATTTTCTACGACTTAAGATCTTACGACTGCTACGACTTCTATCGTAGAGCCCGCAAAAAACTGTAAACTTCAAATAGTACTCATAAATTATAGCAGAGAATAAGTTTGTGTTATAATTCAAAATTTAAATCTTTTCTGTTTTTTTTTTTATGTAGACATAAAAAATCTTTGAAATTAAAAAAAAAAAGAAAAGACTTGAGCGATGATTTTCTCTCTTGAAATATATTCTACGCATGAAAATACACGAATTTATAAAATTACAGAAAAATCGGAGGGGAAGGATTATACTAAAAATGTGATATTTATAAGATACAAAATATAAAATGCAACAAATATAATTAAAGGTACAATTTCATGTTGACGCTCGATTCTTGCTGGATTCACACTGCATCCAATCAGAAAACAGGATTCCGATAATACGAAGCAAAATTCATCGGAATCCTGTTTTCTGATTGGTTGCAGAGTGTCTTACGACGAAAATCGGATGCAGTGTGAATCCAGCATCTTAATAGCTGCGTTCAGCAGAGAAAACTAATCAGTTAGCGCTTAAGTGATTCTTTAATATGATTGGTTCTTGGCCTTTAGTTTTTCACTGGATCTAAGTGTAGGAACCAATTATATTGAAGAATCACTAAGCGCTAACTGATTAGTCTTCTCTGTTGAACGCAGCCATTTTTAGCGTCAAAAAGATGCATGACCACTCACTGAGCGCTCAGTGAGCTCTTGTACCTGTTTGGTCTATATTTTTAGCTCTAATGGAATATGCCAATCAGATGCATGAGCTCACTGAACGCTCTGCGCTTTTGGATGCACCTATTTAACAACAATTGGTCTGTTCGACTTGCTTACACTCAGCATTTTCGCTTTCTCTTTTTTCAGCGCCAAATATATATCTATCTCATTTTAAGTGTAAAAAGTGTAAAAAAGTGTAAGCAAGTTGAACAGAGCTAATAATGGCTGCGTTCAGCAGACTCAACAGTTTTGCAACCGTTTTATGATTGGCTGCGTTCAGCAGAACGTTTGTTTTGCAACTGTTGTAAGTTTCCTTCGCGCTAATTGGATCATACTTTTAGATCTAGAAGAATGGTCCTATCTCAGCAGACAATCATAAAACGGTTGCAAAACTGTTGAGTCTGCTG